AGAGAGAGAGAGAGAGAGAGAGAGAGAGAGAGAGAGAGTTTGGGGTAGATTGTCACATACTAATAGACAGAATAACTAGACAAATGTATGAAGAACATGTAGAAAAATAAAACAAGACATCCCAGAAACAAATAGCAGAAAAGACCTGGATTGTGTTTGTTCTTTAGACAGTATCAGTATCTCACTATGTTGTCCAAGCCTCCTAAGGAGATGGAACAACAAGAACTCTCTATAACTTGAGGTTTTGAGGAGATCTTTAGCCAGTGTTATAAAAAAAATACTAAAAACATCAACTAAATCTAGGGAATGTAGATAAACAAGTCATCATTTCTGTCAGGTTTTATTCTACATCTGGTTAATTCTGAATCTCTTTCTCAGTCTATTATGTCATTGCTTCTTCACAGATAATAAAAGTTAGCTTAAACTTGAACTAATACTTTATTGGGCTGTCCATTTTAGTAAGTAGAAATTGAAAACAAAAAGTATGTATTATTTATCGGAAAGTCACATTTAGCTGGGTATTTGTTTTATCTAGTAGACTTCTCATTTTAGCTATAATACTTAAAAATGTGTGCATATGTGCGTGCGTGCGTGCGTGCGTGTGTGTGTGTGTGTGTGTGTGTGTGTAGTCCTGGAGACTAAACCCCAGGGCTACATACACTCTAGGCATGGCAAGTACTCTGCTACTGAAATATACCTTCAGGTCTATTTTTTTAACTCTCACAAATTGGGTACCACAACTTTTGATACTTCTTATTTTCTTTGTTAGCCAAAAAGTTCTAGAGAGAGGGATCCTGTTCTTATAAGGTATCTTCTACCCCTAGACTTACACATCAAAGTGTTCCTTGAGAAAAGAGAGCCTGTCTCATTCATGTTTGTTTCTTCTAGCAATATACAAGATGCCTCTTACCACACAATACCTCCCCAAAAGAAATGCCCATGGAAAGAAAACAGGATTTAAGAGCTCTTAGGACTTCTCCAGATGGGAGCTTGTGCTGTGAAGAAATGTTTAGCAAATGATAGGAGATTTGCAATTGTGAAGATGCAAGAAGTTAACATTGCTCTCTGTAAGGTAAAAGTTAGCAGTGCTCTTTCTACAATCTGAAGAAACCTAAAATCCACTTGACCAAGCTCTAGTTAAATACATTGACCACTCCTTTTCTCACGTCGAGGCCCTAAACAGACACAACACACTGACAATAGCATGTGTGAAATGGGAAATAATATAGAGCAAAATTCAATTCAAAGTTACTTCACAGCAGAGAAAAAAAGTCAACACCACTACCAGGCTAGGCCTATGTGCACACAATACCATCTTCAGAATGATAGTTAGAGAGAAAATTAAAAACTGAGGTCATTTGCGGGGAAGAAAAAAAGAAGTTCTGTGTGGGCTTTAGTCATATGGAAGGGTGACTTCTGAAATATAATATCACATGAGACAGGAAGAACAGATTGGTGTCCAGGGAAAGTAAAACAATTATTAATGCTTGAACTGGAAGTGCTGGAAGGAGGGCTAGCATTAGAGATCTAAAATAGCAGCCATTCTCAGAGGGTGTGGCAGATGCAATCAAGCCCTGTGAACTTGACCACTGACTTGTTGTAGGCAGATTCTCCTGCCTTCTATAACTCGATACAGTATTCTTACTATCTTTATACTCCCATTTTTCTCACCTGTGAAATGACGTTGTTAGTTGTACCTTGTGCTTGTCATATGAGTTATAAGGGATTCAATAACTGCTCACTGTTGAGTTTACTGCTGTTTGTTTTCTTTTAATGATGGGTACTGCATTAGACAATGATGGTGTTTTATTACAGAATAAAAAGCTGTCATCTTGAAGCTCAAAATAGTTTTGAGTTTGGATTTCCTTGACTTCATACTCAGGGAATGAGAAAATGTCCCTCTTTGATGGTGTGCTTTGGACAGCAGGAGGCAAGTCTCAATCCTTCTAGCTCCCCTGTGACAACAATTCAGACGAAATGGTCAAGCATAATATTAGAGATCCCAGAAAACTGATGATACGATAGGTGTAGATCATTCTCTACTTTAGAGGGGGCACCAGGCCCAGCACCAGTTCTGAGATCCAGACATGAACAAGGCTGGCTAGTGTGTCCAGTGTTAACCGTGAAATAATTCCTAGACCTGTAGCAGGGACAAAGGACACTGCACCTTGGCACTCTATCAAAGTGTAGTCAGCTTCCATCATTACACAGACACAGAAAAGCCAAGTATCTGGTATTTATTTTGCAAAGAGCAGAGAAACTCTTGGATGGAGGGCAGAAAGATGGGTATTTCTAGAATGAGAGAGAATGACAAACCAGACAGATGTGGTGACTTCTGCCTGTGATCCCAAATGTGGCAGGTGGAAATGGAGGCCAAAGAGTTCAGGAGCAGACACAACCAACTACATAGAAAATTCAAGGGTAGCCTGGGCTATATGAGATCACCATTCAAAAACTTACAAGGCAAGGAGGCAATATCCTTATCTTCTACAGGCCACAAGTGCAAATTTGCTTATATTTTCCATTCTGAAAAAGGGGAGAAGGGCATGCCTCTTACATCTCCTTTCTCATATCATATCATAGCCATATTTTTCTTAAGTTCTAGAACCTAAAAATACATTTGTTTTCATTTCTTTATGATGTGTAGTATGTTTTAATTATTCAGGAACTCCTACATGCAATTGGAGTCAGAATTTTGATAATAGAATAACAGTACACAACATTTTATTTAGAAACAGATATTGATGGATAAATAGCATTTCTTGCCATTTGTATAGTTCATGTTGTTTTAACTTAAAAAAATCTTTAGAAAAAAGTAAGATCTCCACATCACAAATTAACCCTCTGTCTGCTCTTCCTCTCCCTCCTCCCAATGGGTCACCTTGCTTAAATTTTGATGAGTCATTATTTCTGTGAGTTCTGTGATCTAAGGCAACAGATTCCTTTACTTCGTGATTTATTTTGTGTTTGCTTTGTTCCTGTAAACCCACAGCTTCCTAGTTAAAGCACATTTACAGCTGTTCATTTTCTTCTTTACAACCATCAGTTCTCAATGCAAACACTGTTATTACAATTTAGAAGATGACAATGGATGCTGCTCTTTCAATGTGTTTGGGAATATGTTTAGTGGTACATTTGCAGATACACAATGATGTCAACACATTTGTCTGTCTTTCAACCGAATCATGCAGAAACTCAGAATATTGATACTTACTGTGGAGTATGAGAGCTGCCTTCAACACTCCTGAAAACGGGCTAAACCAAATGCTACATGTGTGAATTCATGATGCTCACTTTATGTGGAACGGTTGAACTATTGATTCTCCCACAGAGGGGATATACTCACTGAAGATTATTATATCTAGAAGTTTTCAAACTCAAGCAGATAAATTACTAAAAACCCTCTTTTTTCTTTTTTTGAGATAGAGGTTCATGTATCCCAAGTTGGCCTCAAGATAGAAATCCTTATACAGCATAAGGATGACTTTGAACTCTGATCCTTCTGCCTCCACTCCTCCAGTGCCAGGAATGCATGTGTACATCACCCTATTTGGCTGAGAATCTCTCTGTCAGTGGAACACTTGCAAGCTTTCCCAGGAAGAAATCACTAAGAACTCAGTACTGAGCTCTTAGATAAAATGGCTAGATACTCACTTTGTCTATGATAGTGTAGCTCAGAATGAACATAACACCCTCAATTAGATAGATGCAAACACATTAATACACATGTAAATAAAATGTTTTCAGAGGCTTTAGAACACCACTGAGTTTAAGGGACCAAGACATAAAAAAGTATAGTAGTCTACTAAACTATAGTTATGCCGTCTCACGAAAACATTCCTAAGAATACTTAAGTGCTAAATCTAGCTTGGGTAGTGGAAGACCACCAAGCAAACAACACTCAAAATTAGCAGGTGCATTTTAAATCACATCAGTTGCCTTTTCTGGCATACAAAGGGTAGATTGAAAGGGACTGGCAATTTCAAAGCAGTGGCAAGCATGTCACTCTTATCACATTGCTTGGGAGAGTCTGGTAAGAATCATTACTTAGTGTCTCTGATTCCACTCCATGATCATCTTTAGTAGTTGTATACCTTCTGTGGGATACACCGGCTTCTGAAAAGATGTGTATATTAGGACCCAGCAGCCCTGTAACATGTTTTTAAATTAATTATTTATTTATTGTATGTGCACGTATGTCTGTGTGAGAGTGTCGGATCCTCTGGGACTGGTGTTACAGACAGTTGCAAACTGCCAAGTGGGTACTGGGAAATAAACCCAGGTCCTCTGGAAGAGTAGCCAGTGCTCCTGACTGCTGAGCCAGCTCTCCAGCCCCGGCATCATGTTTTAAGGTTTTTGTAGTGCTGGTAATCAAACTCTAGGCCTT